TTTTTCAGTTTGCCCTGAGATGCTCAGTCAAACTCCAGTACTGTTAGTTCTACATGTATTGTGCATCTGTCTCCATTACTTCCAGTTGTTAGTCCTCAGCACTCTAGTGCTCCCTGTCTCTGTCTAATACTCTTATGTATATGTGCCATATTCCCTGTCCTCAACATCCCCATTCTGTTGACTGTATTCCCAGTCTATGGGCCGTATTCCCGACTCACCTTGCAGCCCTCGCAAGAGCTGACCCCGTAATGGTACCCAGAGGACTTGTCCTGGCACACAAAGCAGGGCTTGTAGACACGGGGAGGGGGGGGTGGCGAGGGTGAGCTGGGCACCATCTCCTCTGAACTGGTACTCTGGGTCTCCACCGCTGCACAGAGCCAGAAGGGGGACAGTTATTAACCAGGCAGCATCCAGACCACGAACGAAATGCTACCGTGATGCAGATGCCAGTATAAAGCTGGTATTGTGTGAAAGACCTTTCCGATTGGACTGTGTTTTTTTTACACTTCTTCCTTTAAAATGATTATCCATTTCCATTATTTTGTAATTTGCAAACATTCGTAACTTTGCAAGTAATGAAAACGTCTTCTCGTTTTTCCATAACGAATGCCAAAACCCTCCTATCCACCCTCCTATTTCCCATTCCGTGCCTTTTCTCCCTCTTCTGTTTGCTGACTGTTCCCTCCTCCTGAAACCCTTATCCCCTCTCTGGGTTCTCTCTCCTCCCTCTCACACTCTGTCCTGGAGTGAATATTTGGGAGCTGTGAAACGCCAGTCTGTGTTGAGGTTGACCTGGGCTTGGCTGCATTGCTGCTATTCTTAAATGCACACACTCACACAGAGGATACACTCCAAAAATAAAAGGAACTTTGTTCACTTTGCAAACAAAATCAATAAAAAAAAAACAGATTAAAACCTATTTGTCTTCATACCCGTTGTACATAGCAGCCACATAAAAAATAAAACGATTTTTCTTAAGAAAGAAAACTCAGTGTGAAACACCAAATGATCATTTTATAAAAATGTGACCCTGAAATAATGGCACGACTGAGAGGTATGCATTATGAAGGAAAAGAGTCTCAGTACTGCATTATTTCAAACCGGTTAGAAGACATGATGGAATTTTTTGAATGAGGGAGGCTAGGTGCTTCAGTAGTTCAGGTGAAAGGCTTGTCAATTGGAGGGTCGTTTTTGCTGCGTGTCACCCTAGGCAGGCAGGTACAAGACAGAGCATGGGAGACAGTTCTCTGTACATCATGAGAGTTTAAGGAATTATCTTCTGATCCTTTCTGCAGATACTAGTTTCTCCTGTGTGTTGCGAGAACTGTTCCAGGTTCCGAGACTGATAAAAGTCAGTCTTCCTGGAGCTTTTACCTTTCAAGCATTAAGTGTAAGAAGGGCAAACACATCAAAGGCAAACACCAGCTTTGTATTGTTGTTTTGCCCCAGTGGTGTTCTGCTTTTGTGGACAGAAGGTGCTTACATTAGGCTAAGATCACCAGGCACCGCCTGACAGATACAGATTGACAGAAGGGCTTGTCAATCAGTGGAATTCACCTCCCTGCTTGCTGATTTGTGAGTAAGGAGGGGGTTCTTGGGTGCAAATATTTGGAGAGATCAGGGGAAGGTAGGAATGCTGATTGACAAAGAAGAGAAAGAGAAGACAAACAATTAGACAATTGCTGATAATATAGCCCAATAGCTCATCTGATAAGACAGACAACTGAGCTCTTAATGGAATCTCCATCATTGCTCCAGGCAGCTTCCTTCTTTCTCTTTCCCCTTCTCTCTGTTTTCCTCCTCCCCCCTAGTTTGGCTTCCTCATTCCATACCTGGGCTGTTTCACATCACCTCTCTGGCTTCTTTATCAGCCTCCATTCTCAACACATCATTTCCAGCATCTTCACAAACACTACACTACCCAGCTACTGCATATGCCTGTCCGATTACTTTAAGATACATGCTTTGAACATGTTGCATTTTTACATGCTTGAATCAAATAAAAATTACTTTCCCGCCCCATGATTCCTCTGGAATTTTCAATCCCTTGATCTCCCGGCCCATTTACCTGTGTACCTATTTCTTATGACGTGATTTGTGTGATAAATGACAAAAATGATTCATTAAAACAGTAGGCACAATATACCTAATATACTCATCCCACTGGCTAACATGCCCACCCAATTAGACAACATTTACCTCTCACACACATTTCTACACACATGGACACATACACACAGGCCCCACAGAACCTCTTTCAACTCTCACCCCAGCCCCCACCTCTTTCTCTTGTTTCCTGGCCCTAAATTCCTCAGTGCAGCCCTGCCAGGTTTTAATAGAGGCCCAGGCTCGTAAGGTGGCCTATAAAGCCGGTCCCAGGGCTGGGAAAGGAGGCCCCAGTCCGGCTGCTTTGCTCTTTATTGGCACCCAGGCACCTCGGGCAGCTATTCACCCCGCCAGCTGCAGCCCGGACACCCAGCCCGTAAAAAAAATAAAAATAAAATAGAAGCAGGGGGGTTAAAACTTTACTGCCCCCTTCTCTCCCTTACTAGGAACCCCTGCCCCCCCCCCCACGAATACCCCAGGGCGAGACAAAACACAGTCTGCACCTCCCACCACATATTCCACAGTCATTCTCTATGTCCCTCACAGCCACCAGACTGTGAGATGGCTGCTAACAATGGGGAGGGGGACTTCAAAAAGCAGTGCAGGAATAAAGGTAATATCATATAAAGAGAGAGCGAGAGAAACAAAGAAAGAGAGAGGGAGTGAGGAGGACAAAAGGTGCTTTTTACTGCTGGAACTTTAAACGGTGGCCTGCGCTTTGTCTGGCAGCACTTGCTATCATTTTATTATTAGAAGGAGGATTAGAACCGCTACTGCTAATAATAGTCACCGTCGCAACGTTATGTGTAATATGGTAACACTTCAAAATTCAATCATACAAACACACTCAAATAGATTTACATTTCAAAACTGAACTAAAAGCTGCAGAACAATGGAGAAGTCGTGTTCTGTTTGTACTATTACAACAATGGTCTTGATGGAAGAGGAGGGAAATGCTGAAATTCGTTTGAAAGGGGGGAACTGTATCTGCTGGCAACAGAAGAACAGGAGAGACAGGAGGGGAAAATCCAGGGAGAGACAAAGGTGGAGAAAGACAATGCCAGAGAGATTCAGAGAGACAATAACACAATTTATCAACATCCATCGACACCTTGGACTGGACCCTCACTTAATACACAGCTCCTTCCATCCTCCTCCCCTCCAAAACACCATCAGAATGTCAATCAGCACTTAGGCAGGATACTAAATGAAGCTGGTAATTAATCCTTTTATCCCCCACCCCACTCCCACTCAGCACTATTTAGAAAACAAAGTTCTTAGAAACCCAAGGCCTTCCCCTTATCAGTTCCAAAGCCTGGGTCTCAATTTGCGTTACAATTCCCAGCCAGGAGTGGGGGAAAGGGGAGTGAATGTGGCTTTGGTGTGTGGCAGGGTGTTATCAGTGTTGCTGCTCATTTCCTGCTAAGTATCGGTTTACTCCTAATCCCGTCTCTCAATGGCTTCTGTACAGGAGTAACACAGTTATAGTGCCCTGGACTAATCCCTCTGTCAAGCGCAGCAGGGACTCTCTGCTGACACATGTCAGTCTCTTGTGCTCTTGTCCCCATGTTGAGTGTCAATTTAGCACAGTGTTCAGTCTGTCAGAGTGTCTGCATTAACTCATCCATCTTGCTCTCTCAGACAGAGCAGTGTTAACATACTGTGGTATACACTCTTTCAGTGAACCTCTTAGTGTGTTTACTAACCCATCCATCTCTCTCAGTGTTGTATTAATGTATTGGAGCACCTTGCTGACCCAGATCCAGATCTATGATTATTGTATCTCGATTTGCTCACTGGTACTGGTGCATGTTTCCAGTGCTCCTGTTTGCAAATCAAACCATTACAGTACACACCCACAGAAGACTCATGTTGTGTTGTAACAATGTAGGAGGAACTGTGACTCAATCCCTGGATTTAGAATTATTTGCAAAAGACTGTTTTCAAGTTTACGTGTCCTCTGCATTACATGTATTCAGAGCTCTGTGCAGCCCGTGAAGCAGGCACTAGCTCCCCAAGTCTCAACAGTATTTTATTTGGTTTGCAAATTGAGGTTCAGCTTTTCCTTGCTAACAAAGGCCTCCAATGTGCTCTGGGGTATGTGTGTGGTCTGTGTGGTTATATAAGTTTGTGTGTATGTGTGCTCTGATTTGCAAAACCTGATGCGTTTTTGAGCACCAAAAAATGCACATTCGACAACAAAGGGAGTTTAGTCAGGAAGGCAAAGCGGGCTCATAGTTTTAGTTGAGGGACAAGGAGAAGAGGGAGGAAGGCTGTGTGGAAAAGCTGAAGGACGGCGAAAACTTTCAAAGGATGTAAACATTAATCTGTGCTACTTTGCCCAGTGGGACAACATTGCATTGAACCAGCAAATGTCAATTACAAGCTATTTTTATAAGCAAATAAGTAATGCTTGGCTTGTAATTGTAAACCAGCACTTCTGAAATGCACTACTTCTAACTGCCAAATGTAACCAAAACCAGCCTTACTGTGTCCACTGCCTGGCTGGCTGTCACACTTCCTGCCAGACATATGTACTGACTGGCAAACGAATACACTGACTAACCGATGCGCATATTAACTAGTTGCCATCCTGGGCTCAGCAGTCCCAAGTTTCGTGGGTTCCTGTGCCCAGGTCAGTGTTTTGGAGTTTTGCTAGAGACACTATGTGATGCTCTAAATGTAGTTATGCGTACCTGTTGCGCAATGTATTGGCATGTCACATACAGGCGGCTGGCCCCCACCTCCCTGCCAACTTCCTACTGCCTCATTCACTCTTCCTTCTCCCCTCTGCCAGCGTCATTGTCCATCACCCAGTGGTTGCACAAGCACCCTTTCACAAACTGCACTTCTCCCTCTCCCTGCTTCCTCTGACTAGACCTGTTTTTCCATCAGATCTCTATGCAAATTCTACACTGCAGCTCTCTGCCATAGAGCCACGGGTTTCAGACTGGAATATGGAGAGCCCAGTGTATCCATAGAGCCAACATGCATAAGCGATCCAAAAACTTACACAGGGTAAGCAGGCCACTGATGAAGGCTTAGGGGCTTTTTCAGCTCAAGTCCTTGTTCTGTCACTGAATCAATTTGTCCAGACTGACATCCTGAGTGAGTTATTCAATTCCTTGCACTTCACCTCTCATACGAGACATCGAATGGAGGTTCTGTTGTCAGTGACTCTGAAGCAGCATATGGTCATGTCATAGTATAGACACCCCCAGTGTCTATATGTCACCATTGATAAATGTGCCTGTAAAACAG